AGCAACTGCCATTTTCGAGCGCTCGCAACTGCCACTTGCGAGCGCTCGCAACTGACACATTTTGCTACTTGCTACTCGCAACTCACCACTCACCACTCGCAACTGGCGTATTTATACACCCTTACATACCTCAAAAAAAGGTATATTCGCTGGATTTTATTTTCACTGTATCAATACCTATCAATAAAGTATTTTACAGTAGTCTGTTTGATATTTTATATTGGTGGGAAGTATATTTAAAAATAAAATAAAAATGTTGTTTTGGCAATAAATGAACTGTTTTTATTCAGTGATTGAAACAAAATGCAAATGCGCATGCGTCCCTATGTACGGCAAACATGAAGTAAACTCGCACTAGACTTTTCACTATTGTATCAACTGAATATTGCTATGTTCAGTGGAAAAACAACATTTTTATTTAAATTATATCATGGTTTAATGTCTGAATTTAGCAATCTGATTGGCTGAAGCATGGTCTCATATCTGGCACTGTGATCCCACCCTGAAACTGGATAAACTGGATTAAATATCTAACTGGATTCAGATCGCACAACTGTGAGCACTGTTTGTAGTGATTGCAGGTGTATGATCAACTGATCAAAACAAGGAAACATGGTACATGTACCAAGACTTATTAAAATGCAATAGTTTTTTGAGATATCGGTAACAGAGAAAAAGCAAAAACTTGAATTATTATGCAAATTAGGTGATTAATATGTACTGATATTACCCTAAAAACTATCAGGTCAGTGCAGTGTCCTATGACATCTATGTACCAAGTGTCATTGAAATGTGATGATTTCTACTTGAAATATCAAAAGCTGAAAATTAATTAATTATGCAAATTAGGTAATTAATATGTACTCATATTACCCTAAAAACTATCAGGTCTGTGCAGTGTCCTATGACATCTATGTACCAAGTGTTATTGTAATGTGATGATTACTACTTGAAATATCAAAAGCTGAAAATTAATTAATTATGCAAATTAGGTAATTAATATGTACTGATATTACCCTAAAAACTATCAGGTCTGTGCAGTGTCCTATGACATCTATGTACCAAGTGTTATTGTAATGTGATGATTACTACTTGAAATATCGAAAGCAAATTAGGTAATTAATATTGCACAGATTTTTACCCAAAACTAATCAAATCTGCGCATTAGTTTGGAGTATCTATGTGCCAAGTTTCATCAAAATCCAATGAGTGGTTCTTTAGATATTAGTGGAACAGTCATGGAACAGCTAAAAATCAGCTAATTATCATGCAAATTAGGTAATTAATATGCATGGTTTTCACCAAAACCCGATCAAATCTGCGCATTGGCCCAGAGCATCTATGCACCAAGTTTCATCAAAAATCAATGTATTGTTCTTGAGATATCAGTGGAACAGACACACACACACAGACACACACACAGACAGACACACACACAGACAGACAGACAGACACACTAACTGCAAAAACTCAAGAGTCAAAAATAGAGAATTAAAGATATCATCCCAAATCAAAGCTCATAGAGGTCCACCCAAGAAGCATATGTATCTAGTATAAAATAGAGGAAATAGTTTTCAAGAAGAAGTTGAAAATAGCATTTTTACCAAAAATGACTAAATCATTCACTAAACTTACTTCGAGAAATCAAAATATCTTCACTAAAGGTTTATTATTGGTTCACCCAAGGTACATTGTACATACAGGTTTTCAAGAAGTGTAAAATAACATTTTTGACAAAAAAATACAAACATATTTATTAAAAACAAAGAATTTATAATATTGTAACAACATGATCAAATCGCAGAAGTACCAAGTATAAAGGCAACAGTTTTCAAAACGAAATCGTTTGAAAAAAAGAGTTGATGAGTTTTTCTTGCACATGGTACATGTATTTCATCAAGATTAAACGTTAGACGGCCTAGACCAAATGGCATGGTCATTACAACAATCTTGGATCGTCACCCTGCTGACCGGCGACTATTGACTAGACAGACACTGCTCGAATGAAAAAAAATAGACGGACACAAACATGCTAAAAACTTAGCACCAGAAAATGGCAGATTGTTATGTGTTTATAAGATGTTGAAAATACTTAGTTCTTGTTTGGTAGATTATGCAGCGATCACTCACCTCTCGTTTTAGTATTATTTATATAAAATCAAATTGTATACGGGCAAAAAAATACCCCTAAAGATATAATGATCCTCCCCTTAGCCTTATATCGATTGAACCATGGAGGTAATACTTAAAGACCAATGGAGGTCCTTGGTCACAGACTTACCTTCAAGGGGGCCCCAAACAACCTGGGTCTTGGAATAACGTGTGAAAAATCACAATTCTGTAAAGTTACAACTCCTAGCTTTCGACATTCAGTTGTCAAAAAAATTCACAAATTGACAACCTTTGGGAGTTCCCGCGATACGTAGACAGTTAAATTCCAAACTTAGTTCTGCAACTGTCACTCACTGCAACTTGGGCCCCGGAAAAGATATCAAGATCGGTCTTTACTTTCAGAGTTTACCTGCGCTTCGTCACTATTCGACCTTCGTGACATCGTAACTACACGATTAGATCACCATAAGTAATCCTTTCAGACATATTATGCGGGCCAATTCCAGGCCAAGAAGTACAGTGCTACCGGAGTTGATGACAATCATTTGAACTTGTCAGTTAAAGATCGATAAAACGCGCCCTCACAGTTAATTCTTTCAGTTTCTTCGAAGAGCTTGACGTATTCGCCTCTTCATTACTGGTTCGATTCATTGTTTATATTTTCTATTATTTTTACGAATTGTCCAAAAAGGAAATGTATGTAATTTATTGAGGCATTGAGGCGGTCACAAAATGTTGAATCAAATATCAAAATATGTGTAAGTACTTGTTGAATCTCTGACTTCCCAACACATGCATTTTATAATAAGGTCACGCATACACTATTTCTCCAAATGTGTAATATTAGTACATTATTCAAAAATGTGATAATAACTGTTTTACTATTTTCCATTAAAATTGTTAAACACATCCGGTCCTTTAAACCACAATCCCTCAACACCGGGACTGTGTTTAAACTAGGAAACCGTGTTGCTGGAGTTACGACAGCGGTGAGAGTCAGAAAAACGAAAGAAACTCCAGACCAAATAGTTGGTGGTGCTGCATAATCCAACATGGCGCAACAGAGCAATGAGTCTCCGCTAAAAACTCGAAAACGAGCGCATGGAAGCAAAAATAGAAAGAAAAGCTGGAAAAAGATTGACGTGACAGATGTTGAAGAACAGTTAGAAGACCAGAGACTACAACTACGGACAGGGTATGATAGTATTTTATTGTAATTGCAAAGCCATGTGCGTTCATCAGTTTTACTGATTTTACGTTTTTAAAGACCAATAATTAAATTCTCCACCACGTGGGCCTTGGGTAAAATAATAAGAGTTCCTTTGAGGTGCCCCTCACCCATAACTCTAATCCTACCCCTGACCTCCAGTATCTCTCCTTCATTTCAATTGTATATACTCTTTGGGTCACTTATAATTGTTTGAAGGGGCATATTGAATTACATTGTGGGGCTGGATTGTTAGGGTTCAGGTTATGGGTGAGGAGGCTTTAAGGAACTCTTTCTGGTAAAATACCTCCAGGCAACCAGCATGGATCATGTAACCATGAATCAATATACATGTAAACAGATTTTGAAATGTTGTATGTACACAGTAAATTGTCGTATACATTTTAAATCACATTATTTTTCCTCCAATTTTCCAAACAACACTGTACCCCTAAACACCTACATGTAGATGGAGTTATGTAGCTCTTGTTTTTGTTGTAGTTCATTTACAGTCGATAGGCCAAAAACTACCCCCGATAAGTTGTCACATATCCTGAGAATGATGCTCCAAAAAGTGTTGATTAAGGATGTTACTTTCAAGATGGCATCCATCTTGCGGGGGAATCATCAGAGTTCTCAGAGTTTCCACTGATTGGACTTACTGGTTAATGGGCCATATTAATCAATCCATAAACCATCCTCAACTCCCAGTTTAGCATATAGCCCGAGCAGATAAAAGCCAACACACACAACAATCCCTACCTTACCAGTTACATGTTATTTAATCGTAGATGAAAAGAAACACAGGTGTCTTGCCCAAAGACACAATATCATGTATGATTGAAACCAACAAAGCCCCAATTGCGAGTCCAAAGTCATAGCCATTGTACCACAATGCTGATGCCCCCTGGTTACATGCATAGACTTGTATTGTAGCTTCCTGGTTTTGTGATCACCCTACATCAGACAAAATAAACTACTGACGATTACAAAAAAAAACAAAAAACTACAGTGTAACCAACCATGCTGAACCCTTGCACTCTACATACCCCTAACCTTCCAGAAACTCTTTCCCCCCAAATTCTTGGCATGTTGCAGTTAATTATGCTTAAACTCTGAAATTGTGTCTTATATGTAATGCTAAAATCTTTTAAGGACCAAACCAACTGTATTACACCATATTAACAAACAAATGTACCTGAGTGAAATATCTAATCTATCTGAAATTCATGTATCCTATACCCTTTACACTGATTTGTTGTCATGTCACTGTGAATGATAAGAAATATTTATCTCTTCAAAGGAAAAGTGTAATCCTGACATTATAGACCATTTTCTTTTCACTGAAATCCTGCATTATGCGAGAAATCAAACATAAACACAAAACATTGCATAGGATAGGATTCAACAAACCAGAAAGTTATTTTCCTAATTGAAAGAAAATCCTATTTGTTTTACCTTTGGTTTTTTTTTAGTGGTCTTGTTGCAGAGAAAGCAGATGATCAACTGTTTTTTGTGGATAAGAAAGATAAAAAATCAGGTAAGTTGTCTTAGTTGTTTTTCATCTTGGTGTAAACATTGAGTGAGAGAGACACAACTGTTTTTGTTTCATGTTTTTTCGTCATCACTTTGATGCTTTTTCAGCAACGTTTCCCCTAATCAAGGTAGTAATCACAGTAAATGTATATACCGTACTTCTCCGAGTATAAGCCCCTCCCCGAGTATAAGCCCACCCTTCTGTATAGGCCCAGGGTGTTTTTACGGGCGTCGGCGACATTTATTAAAATATGCATGTAAAAAGTATATTTCATTGCATAAAAATCATGATTGGTATGGTAGTTTGGTTCCAGCTTTTACAAGAAAACTTGCATTAATTTCAGAGTGCACGGCGGGCGAACGTACATAGTTTTTTATTCTGTTATTTACTCAGGATCAACCCTGATGTTGCAATACTGAAATAATCCATATTTTTTTTGAGTAGTAGTTTTCCAAACGGAAAATGTGATCGTCAAGTCGTAAAACCTGGTCACTATCACCGTTTTACTTTTTCGAATAATCTTGTCCATTGAGACTATCGTGAATCAGGTGTGAACGAGCAAACTATTCTTCGACATGACTTGTTGGCGGCCGTGAAAGGTTTAAATACTTCGCTCACCCTCAGTTTGCCTTTCGAAAATTGCGAATCAACAGCTTTTAGGGCAAAAATTCACTGTTTTTTTTTCAAAATCGGTGTTAACATCACAGTAATACACTTCTGCATTGCGTTGATAAAAATACTTCGTCAATAATCGGAAAACTTCAACTGTATGACAGAGCACTTTCATTGGTTAGGTCAAAGGAAGTTGTTCAGATCAAATTATGATGAAACCATGGCGGAAATAGATTTGTAACGAGAGTTTGCGTACGATCTTGCCTTCGACCGTTTTCTTACAGACCCTACCCATTTTTGCACCTTAAATTCAGACGGTATGTAAACCATATTGTAATAAAACATTTGTTTTTTGTTCATATTTGTTTCTTCATTGTAAAAAGCGTTGTTGAAATCAATGACGGCTGGTTTCACATTTTTGTTTTCTCAAAAAGACGTAATATTCCCCCAAGACCGGCGCTGTGAACGAAAAATGTAATTTGGATGTTGTTTCGAGGCTGGGAAGATGGTTACAGTTTTAAACACACCAAAAAAATATTTTTTCTGAGGTGGTCCTCAAGTATAAGCCCACCCCTTATTTTTTCTGATTTTACATGTTCAGGCCCCTGGGCTTATACTCGGGGAAGTACAGTAATAACATTTTTTGAAGGGCAAAAATGAGTCTTGTGAAAAAAGTGATACTCGTTTTCATTTGCATCGAAGGTCTATTACATGTACTGCAGTAGGGGGAGGTTAATACTGTAATTGATTGGGGGGGGGTAATAATACAACTGTGGACCACTCACTATATATAGATAGATGATCAGCACCAACGATCTTGAAAAATCGTACATTCATTCAAGATCATGACCGATCAGCACCGGTAATTTTGTTGACGTTGACATAATTGAGACAACTTGTAGCCCCTGGAGCATTCAAAGCTGTCGTGCATGGATTTTTTTCTGTTTTATAAACAAATTCACTAGTATTGGACAAGACTATGAAACTCTGACAATAATGAATTCTCTGTCAACTCAACTGGTGCCTCAAATTAATATGTCGCACAAAGTGTACTTCTATGCATCATGGGTTGATAGGTCGTCAATTATTGTTTAAAAGATACCAAGTGAAGTTTCTTTAGAATGTTGCATTAAGTTAGGATAATAATTCCGATTATCAAGAATATCAGCAACACACAGCCACTGGCACAGACACGGACATTCTGTTTAATTAGCATAAAAGTTTCTTGAATTAAACCTATGTGATAAATGTTTGCTTTATGGACAGATCATTAAATGACGTCGCTATTTTAAATCTCAGTACTCTGCAATAATAACATCCAGAACACACATCTTGATGGTGTTGATAATTAAAGTATGCACACAACAATCTAATATTTTTAGTCCCCGTTCGGACATAGTCCGAAAACGGGGACTTATGTTTTGCCCTGTGAGCGTCCGTGCGTCCGTGATCACCTGTATCTCAAACATGCATGGACCGATTAAGTTCAAACTTCACTCATACATTACACATTATATGGGACATATGCACATGCATTTTTTTCATGATCCGATTAACGATAGCCGAATAGCGGCCATTTTAAGGCCGAAAATGCATCAAAATCGCACATTTTCACCATTCCGGACCAGGATCTCAGTTATGCATGGACGGATTTTGTTCAAATTTGGTACATACATTAAACATAATAGGACCTTGATGTACGTCATTTTTTTGGGGGGATCGGGCTTGTAATGGCCGACTGGCGGCCATTTTGTTTTAAAGAATTCAGTTCTGGATCCATGTCTGAGACATGTCTGGATTGATCGAGTTCAAACTTCACACACACAAGGTACATCATGTCACAAATATGTATGTGTATTTGTTTCATGATCTCATTAACGATAGCCAAATGGCGGCCGCTTTAAGGCCGAAAGTGCATTGAAATTGCACATTTTCACCATTCCGGACCCGGATCTCAAATTTGGTACATACATTAAACATAATAGGACCTTGATGCACGTCATTTTTTTTTTTCGGATCAAGTTCGAAATTTTGTTTTAAAGAATTCAGTTCTGGATCCGTATCCGAGACATGTCTGGATTGATCAAGTTCAAACTTCACACACACATGGTACATCATGTCACAAATAGATATGTGCATTTGTTTCATGATCCGCTTAACAATAGCTGAATGATGGCCATTTTAAGGCCGAAAATGCATCAAAATCGCGTATTTTCACAATCCCGGAACCGAATCTCAGTCATGCATGGATGGATTTTGTTAAGATTTAGTGCATATATTAAACATAATATAAGCTTGATGCATACCAATTTTTTATTGGATCAAGTTCAAAATGGCCAACTGGCGGCCATTTTGTTTTAAAGAATTTAGTTTTCGATCCATATCTCGGACATGCCTGGACAGATCAAGTTCAAACTTCACATACACATCATACATTATATCATACATATGCCTGTGCATTTGGGCCAGTCCTTTTAAGGTCAAAAATTCACAAAAATTGCACATTTTCACCATACCGGAACTGAATCTTACTTTAGTCATGCGTGGGCAAATTTAGTTTAACTTTTTTTTTGGATTGTGTTGAAAATGGCTGACTGGTGGCTATTTTGTTTGACTGAATGCAGTTCAACATCCATATTGTTGCTGCTTTGAATGTATATGTCACTCAAATATGAACGGAACGGGGACGTGTCATTGACAATGACTTGTTATTTTTTATTCAATCCTTCTACTCACATAAACGAAAGTTTACAAGTATGAAATAAATATAACAAACTATGTAAACAACACAGTATATGGTGTTCACGCTACACAAAGTTCGGGCTTAGATTTAAGCTAATCTTGAATGTTTGCGTATCAAATAGTTCCAAATGTGTTCACGCATAGGAGGAAACAGTGGTTAGCATGGGCTAACGTATGCCCAAACTTGTTAAGAATATGCAAAAATTTTCAGTCATTTTAACTATGATTACCACCGGTAGTACAGTAACTTGGAAGGTATACATGTTGGTTCTAGAGTTATAAAACAATACCAAAGCAAATTCAGAAAGTGGAGATGGCAGAATAACAGGAAATAGCAGGAGTCTCATTGTCTGCTCATTTTTTTCTTGAGAACAAGCTCTCTATGTGTGTTCGTGTTGATTGTGATGTGGGAAATGGCATTCCAAAATGAATAGTTATGAATATAATAGTAAATCTTCCAAATGAACATTGAATATAATGGCGTTTTGGGCACTTAGTCCACGAGCTAAGCATTCACACACACTTCGTTAGCCCATGCTAAGAATCTGGGCTGGACCAGGTCTGTTTTGTTTGCCATTATCAAATGACCCGCTTTCATGCTTGAGTTATTACTGCAGTATACTTAACATTTCTTAGCCCGTGCAATGCATTCACGCATGTTTTCTTAGCACAGATATTTGACTTCTTAGCCTTATGCTAAGGAGCTGTGCATGAATGCTACATATGATTTTTGTGCACAGTAATAAAAATCACTTTATCCCCCCCCCCTCCCAATAAATGCAGTGATTGTGTTTGCACATGTTTCACTTATCCACACCTCCTTACATACATGTCTTTACTTTTTGTAAATGCAGATGTACAAGTAAAAATCAAATCCAGATTGAGATCCAAACCGTATCGATGTTATCCTCATCTACATCTTGATCCCAAAATACCACCAGCTAGAAGGTCAGTCTCTCTCAAATATTCATTGTTTTGTTTGTCATTATCAAATGATCCGCTTTCATGCTTGGGTTATTACTGCAGTATCATGGTTTTATGTAATTGCTTGCAATTTATTCAAAACAACAGATACTGTATATCTTTCCTTGCTTATAATTTTAAACTGAAAATCACTTGAAAAGTTGTTGCACGCTAACAACACGTGATCGTCCCTCGTTCTAAATTGGGGGTGTATTCTGAATATGAGACGTAATCTAAACTTTCTACTCATGTTCACTTGTAATTCTTGTCACACCGATGACAACTACTAGGTATTCTTTTTCTCACATAATGACATGTGGTTCAGAAATAATAATGTTTCAGTGCAAGATAACAATGCAGAAACAAGAACTTGCAGTATTAATTCCAGATGTCAGTTAATTTACTACTCCCACTATATCTGTACATTTCATTCACTTTCTGATTAAATAAAACTCGGGTAGTCAATGAAAATTCCTATAAATGTACATGATTGAGAAGGGGGGGGGGGGTTCTAGCAGCATCTTGCAAGAGGTCTAGTATTTTCTTGTTGGAAACCTTTCTACATAAGTGTACACCCTTTCTTATCAACTAGAGTAGCAACACGAAAACCTAAAGACAAATGCAAGAACAAGATAGAAATTGAAGAACTTGAAAAGCAAGGCATTTACACAAAGTCCAAAAAAAGGAAGTTGGAACAGATTGCATTAGACCGACAAAGAAATGATGAAGAAAGAAAGAAAAAGATCACTGACATTGCTGCCATAGCAACATATGATTTGTGGGGTGGCAAAGGTATTTCATTGTAGACTTCAATTTATAAATTTATTTCAACATGTGGTGTTACATTTATGTTATAACTAGTGATAAATATGTATAGGCAGAGGAATTGTTTAATATAACTATTCATCACCGAAGTATAATTTTCAGATCCTCTTGTGGCTGTAGAAGTAAACAAGAAGACACAAGTAGAAGCAAATGAACATTACCTCAAAGTTACTAAGAAGACAAGAAAAAAGGTGAGATACATTTATCATGTTACTCAGGTATAATGGTTTACTAATTTGATTCAAAATGGTCAACTGGCGGCCATCTTTTATTTTCATGTGGCCATTAACCCTTTTCCGGTCAAGTCGGTGAAAAACCGCCGTCAATATGGGTATGCTAGAATTTCCCACTCCAGCTAGCTAACTGGTTAAGTCGTTGAAAAACGGCCTGTTATTTAGGTTGCTCAGACGGTCAAGCGTTTATAATACGTTGTACGGAACCTGATATTTTACACTTGCGAAATTATGGAGGGAGAGAATTTTTTTTCGATTACGCCAAGTCAAATAAATTAACCAAGTAATAAAGAATGTAATTCTATACTCTTGTCTGCTCATTTCACTATTTTACCGTCACAACGCGACGTTTGCGACGACGTAAAAAAACCGCCTTGACCACATTGCAAACTGCAGCATTACAACTGTATTTGAACGACACGATTCACGGTTATAACGGTAGTAACGTATTTTGACCAGCTTGGCAAATAGTCCCGGCACTTAGAATGAATAGCATAACGGATTCCAACAGCTGAGCTTGGAATGTCGGCAATCACCAACGTAAAATGACCGGGACAGCTGGTGGGAAATATTAAAGTCCACGTGATTTCACCGTCTGAGCTAGCATATGCAATTTATGTGTATGCAAATTGTAACCAATCTGTGTTCAAAAAATAACATATTTATTTAC